CTTTCCCTATATGCAAAAGATCAATTTTGCATCGCAAAGGGGTACTCTGGAAGGAAAATAAATGACCTTGTAAAAATGGAGATTCTTCTCCCCTCGCACACGCAAAGTTGTTGGATAAAAGGTTCCAATTACTTGTTAGTGTGAATTCTTCACCCTCAACCAGGAACCTTATTTGCCATATCTTCTTGACATTGTCCTTAGGTTGGGTTGGTGTTCTTGTCCAACCCATATCCTGATCCTCATTTTCCAAAAGTGAAGGAAGGACCAAAGTAGAACAAATCAGTCAATGAGGTTCGAAGTGAACAAACCAATTCGTACACTTCTGAACCACAAGCAGTTAATACAATCAAGATTTGTCCAACAAAGGTAACATTACAGCGAACAACAAACCTCAAATATAAAATTGATTTTGATAATGGTGGGTCCTCGAAGCCCTTACCAATCTAGCAGAAGCATTGTTAGGAAGCATACAAATCTAAAAGAGATGAGGAAGTTCTCTGAGGCTTATCCTTATGATAAATGCATGTTACTTTTAAAAATGTTGCTTCTATGATTTGCTTTTTACTTGTTTTCATAGTAATGATTCATAAGGCTCATAAAGTGATCGCAGCATAGATTAGCTCTCTTGAGGTGAGTTATACCTGTACTTTATCAAGACCGATGCACTAACTGAGGCAAGGATGTGATTACACTACACAACATTGCATTTTGTGGGGAAAAACCCTTCGATGCAAGCATCATGCTCACAGCTAGCCCCTCTGGTATGTTGTGCACAGCTACGGCCAAAGTTACCAAAAGTCCTTGAGAAAAGCCTTTTGAGCCAGCAAAAGAGGCACCAACACCAGAACCCTTCCCAAATGAATGGAGAGTCATGATTCCGACAACAAGAACAACTTTAGTTGCATCAGCACCTGTAATGTCTAACATGCTTACTTCCCTGTATTGTTCAAGAAACTGAAACAAGAAATCATGTACATCTTAACGAGATATCAACAACAAAGAACATGCGAGAACGTACACATGTTAATTATATATGCAAATATGACAATCCAAACAAACATTTAAACTGAAGCCACAGCATAGAATCAATAAACATACACGAACAAAATTGTTCGCTAATTTTTCAAAAAATGTATGCATAAACTTCTTTGAGGGTTCCCTAGCTGGACTCTGTGTCAAAGTCCCAAATGAAGTGTCATATATGAGAAAGGAATAGGAACCTTATCAACACGTACTGAATGTATGTTCTCATCACTAGACGAACAGGAATAAGAACCAAAGATGCATGCCTTCTATGAAACATTGGAAAAGGGAACGGATGTATGATGTATCCCAACCCATACTAAAGAAAGAGCTAAAAGCCCAGAAACAGAAAATCAGTTTTAGATGGAAGAAGAAAACTTCATATTTAAATGTGAAAGTGCAGATTCATTACCTTCTTGCACAGCAAAATGAAAATTCCACCAGATAAAATCCCAATCACAACCCAACTGCCAGCACCATGGCCTTGCCCTTCCGTATGAGGTCAAAGCTAGCAGCCAGCATAACACCAGCAGCCGTCCCACTGCACAATCCTTCCCAATAAGGATCTAGCTCCACAAAAAAGAACGGGACAGCACCTAAACCAGTGGCAGCAGCCATGGCCAACGTAAATAATGCAACTGTAGATATCGAGACTCTGTTATAACCACCCTTTCTCTCCTCCAACCCACCACTTGTACCCTCAAAATCAACTGCATTTTCTATACCACTTCCATCTATAACACTACTTCTCACATTTTTATGAGGAGCCGACCTTAACCTTTCAGAATTATCAGTATCAGATTCTGCCAAAATGCATGCAAAGAGAACTACAGAGAGCAGACAAAACAGGGGAGCTTGTTTTAATATGAACCTCATGGTACTTTGCATGCAACCCTAAGAAAACTCACCTCCTTACCCTGTACACCTAACTCCAATACCAACTTGGCAATTACACTCTTAAGAGTTTCATTCCAGAGATTTCTGAATACAATCAATGAAGTTCCCAGATTGGCTTAACAATAGACAACAATACTGTCCTAGCTGTGCCAGGAACTGTGCTTGTTGCTGCCGAAAGTTAAAGAAAATTGTATAAGCCAACGCCATAATGTGAATCACAGATATTTACTGCTACAGATAACACTAGAAATTCAGATTAAAAAGAAAAGAAAAGAAAAGAAAAAGCAATTGAGGTGGCCTTCAAAACCCTTTCAACAGAAAATCCCCTAAAAAGTATCAAAAGCAAAGAATGCAAACTTGGTAAGAAATTATATAAATCTAAATGTGCTCTCTTGATCCTCTCTAGTCAACAATTTGATCTCTCAAGTCAACAATAAATCCAAGGGATAAGAAGATGACAGTATCAAAGTAAAGCAAATAACTTTTCAAAATCACTAGAACCCATTTGGTTCCTGTGCTGTCAAACGCCAAAAAGATGAAAAATTTCGAATTATATACAATATTCCCAATTAGGATTTTGATTGTGAGTTGCAAAGTTTTCAACTTAAAAAAAAAAAAACCCAAAAACTCATGAATCAAATAAGGACCCCTCGATTCACAATCATATATAAGAAAAGAAACTCACCCCAAAAGATGGAAAGCGGGCTTATATCAAAGAAATGGAATCAAGCGAGCGGTATTGAATTCTTGAAACAGAGACAAAGGCAGAAGAGGACAAGCTTCGATTCCTAAAGAAGAGGGATTTATAATTTTAGAATAAATCAAATGAGAGAGCACGTCGTTTTCATATCACAACCAGCAAACCCAAATCCAAAACAATAAGTGAAGTTCGCGTTACAGGCATTCATACGTGTTTATAACATCACCTCCTAGTCCTTGTCTTTACACATCGCAGTTGGGTGAAATACATTCACTTAGTCCTTGTGTTTGAGTTTTTGGTCATATTAACCTTTATAGTCTTAGTTTGATCTTTGTTGTCCCTGGACTTCCAGTTTTTGTTCGTGTACAAAAATTGTCATTTGATGCTAACATCTTTCATTGTGAAATATTAGAGTTTACTTTGAAGCTTTCGATGAAAACACTCAACAAACACATGATCAAAAATTAAACTATCACTGCTAGTGAGCCCGTCGAGGGTGATATTGTTAATATTCATTATATCTGAGGTAGATTTGATAACATAAAAAAGATTAGGACTCAAATAGATAATTATGCGCTGCATCAGCGCTTCCCAAAACAAGCTAGAAGTTTTACAGGGCTGCTGTTGATTTTTGGTATGGATAAAATGGGCTTCTACGGTTGATTTTATATAGGAGATGAGTTTCGGTTGTCTGGCAGTGGACTGCACTTCACATTGCCAGGTGTAGTCCTTGCCTCTGTAACAATTTCAATGCCATTATCTTAGGTTCCATTTGAGTACTAAAAAAAAGGGTTCAATCTTGACCTGTCTGTCACAAATGAATTTGGATTTTATGATAATTTGAACCACCTTTGGTTGTTTTTCTCAGAAAATTCCTTGAGCCCCTCACCTTTGTGCTCCGAGACGAATCCCATCTTTGACCAGGATGCTTGTTATTCCCATGTTTGAAATCTGCCATTCAAATAAATGAGATTTCCCTAAAGGGGTTACATGAACTGCTAACAGAAACAAAAAAGAGAAGAAAAGAAGCAGCTATTGAAAGCTTGTTTTTACTGATTCAATGTTCCTCTCCTCGTCGTCGGAAAAAAGCATCGTGCTGAAGGGTAGCCCGGTGCTCGTATGAACTTTCTGGAAGTGCTCTGTCTTGTAAAACCAACTGGAAAAGATTTCCTGGATAATCAAAATAAGAATCACTCATTGCGCAAGCAAGCAAGAGGGTAATTCCTAATTCATCACTTCTCATCAAAGGTAAGCACCAGCCACCTATCTAAGCTACACGAATCATGAAAATGAATGTGTAGCATGACAACAACACAACATAATAAAAAGTTTCTTAAGGTTGTCGTTTTGACGAAATTCAGAGGCTTGTTACTTCAGGTGCTAAGCTCATCCTCGATCAACATAAGCTATTCTGAAAATAAAATCAACAAGAAACACCTCACAAACTCAAAGTTAGATGCTACATCTTTCTCTTTCCCGTTTAGGATTGTTCCACAATCCTATGACCCTGCTAGTCACTTCTTTGACTAAAAAAACACAACAAAGATTTTGATGATTGCCGACTCACCTGCGCAACAGGCCTTGACTTGGGGTTCAGTTTTTCAAGAAATGTATCTGCTGTTGGTGATCCAGAAGCAATGGCAAGAACTAAATCAAAATTAGATTTTGTAGAAAAGAACTAAGTAAATAAATGCATATAAATAGACACAAACAGCAGATGAAGAAATCTCTTGCACTAAAGAGGCACAGACTCTTGTAAATTGTAGCGGAGACTGATGTAGTATAAGAAAATAACACGAAGAGCAAGCATCAGAATGTTTATCTAATAACCGTTAGAACAAACTAGACGCTGATGATTCCAAATGGCTAGGACATAACAAGTTGAGAACAAAAGATGACAACCTAGTGCCTGGAGATACAGACTATGAGAAACCAGCAACCCCAGCACCTTGAGAGTATACACTGAATTGAAAAATCAGCTGAAAGACGTATTACCAAGATGAACCTTAAAAACACAAATCACTCTCAGGGGGGACATGATTAAGTAGTGGCATTGCATGATCACATTCATAGACCACCACCAGAATATCCTAAAAAAGTAGACAGAGGAGTAAGAGACAACAACATTAATAATAGGTAAAACCTAGCATAACCAAAAAGCACCAAAAGAGGCACTTAGAAATCACACCTCAAGCAATATAGCAGAAACCAAAGGCACCTTGAGGTGAATGTGCCAATCAGGAACATGAAGGCGAGGAGAGAAAAATAAGAGTGGGGGTTAGGACAGGGATTTAAATTCAAGAGTTTCAAACAACATAAACCAACAAAAAAAATAAAAAAACCTAGGTAATCTAAACATTGCAAATCTATTTTTCATATCTCCTGTGTCATTCCAACTCTCCATTGAAATTTAACATTAGAAATCATAGCTCGACACCAACAAACATGAAAACAAAACTACAATATCGTACAAAAGTATTTTACCATTTAAATTCCCAAATAACACAAAAACAAAACAAATATATAGAAATAACTAAAAAAAAACAAGCTAACATGACAAAAGAATACAATATTTGACATTCAAAACATTATGATAATATGCATGTGAAAAGAAGGAAAACAAAAAAAAGGTATCATAAAAAAGGTCAAAGTATTAGGATCTCGACATACAAAACAATAATATGTAACTCAAAAGAAGATAACTAAGAAATAAAGCACACAAAAATTTAGTTCAACCTAATTTGGTTATATCTATAGACAAGTATAAAAAAATTATATTAAATAATGTGAAAATTATAACTACTCTTTGTTAGTAGAAAAATAATTAAGAATCTATATACTAATAGGAATAAACACTTCACATGCTCTTACATATACCTCATAGTTTAATGAGATTCCTCTATTTTACTATTTTTCTTTATCCTTATGTTTCTTTCTTGTATGATACACTAAAGACATGATATGCAACCTATTTATAAGCTGGACATCCTATCCTCTCTTTATAAAAAAAAATAACAATAAACAAATATTACTCCAACAATTAATTAATGGTGCATTGAAAGTTATTAATTATTTGGCAAATTTTAGTGCCAAATATTTAATGAAGGCTGCCCTCTATATTTTTTCTTTTGAAGACTTTGATTTTTAATCATGTCTTCGTATTTGATTATTTATGATTTTTCTATCTTTTTTATATTTTTTATCTTCATTTTGCCTATAAATCTGCTAGGCTATAAGAGAATTTATATCATATGTACTTATCATTATTGACTAATTGGGTTAGAGTATCTACTAGGTTTTTTATGGATGTGAATTTTTTGAAAGCATGCAGTTCTATCTTCCACTACTTCACGAATAAAACAATACTGAATATTTATGTGTTTTGTTTTTAAATGAAACACTAGATTCCTTGTAATATGCAAAACACTCTGATTGTCACAATACATGATAATCTTCTCTTATTTGTGCCTCAGATCCTCCATGAAACTTTTGTAGCCACATGCTTCCTTACAAGTTTGGATAGTTGCCACATACTCAGTTTCTGTTATGGATAAAACTACAATAACTTGTAGTTTAGAGACCCATCTCACAACTCCTTTTGTAATTTTGAATATAGCCTAAAGTGAATTTTCTTTTTTCAAAGTCGTCTGCAAAATTTGAATTAACATAATCTCTGATAATAAATTTTGATCCTCCATAATATAATATAACATATGAGATACCTTGATATATCTCAAGATCCTCTTAATATAATTCTAATGCCCTCCATAAGAATTTGACATCTATTAACTAACTACTCCTATTGTTTATGTAATATTTGGTCTTGTATATATCATGATAAATATTAAACTTTTCATTGCCGATGTATATAGTACTCAAGACACATTTATACTCTCTATTTCATTGCTGATGTATATAGTACTCGAGACACATCCATATTCTTTACCTCATTGCTAAGAGAATACTTGAGGATACTTTGAAGTTATCAGGAATTGTGGCTAAAATTAGTTTACAATTTTACATGTTGAAATGTCACAAGATTTTCTTCAAATAAATTTCTTTATGAAATCTAAATTTTCCTTTTTTTTTTTTTTTTATCTTAGTGAATTTGTATCATCAGAATCTTATTTGCTGGTCCTAGTTTTAGGTCTTTTATATAAAACTCCCTATCCAACTATACCTTTAATTTATAGACTTGATCTTTGTTAGAGTCCATTACCAATATGCCATCTATATACAATAATAAAATAATAAAATCTTCATCTTCTTCAAGTTTTTTATAATACATATGATGGTCTGAACTAAGTTTGTTAAATTTAAGACTAATTATAACAGATAACAACACCTAGGCGACTGTTTGAGATTGTATATATATTTTTTCAATATGCAAACAAAGTCCTCCCAACCTAATTAAGTAAAACCTTATGGTTGAAACAGATAAATTCATTCTTCAAGCTTTTTATGAAGAAATACAATTTTCACATCTAATTGCTTTAAATGAAGATTAAATATAACACATATTGCTAAGACTATTTTGATTCTTGTTAATTGTACAACCATGAAAAATATTTTATTAAAATATATCAATTTTTTCCAAGCATATCCTATCACCACAAATCTTACATGATAATGTACCACTTGATCATTTCCATCATAGTTTATCTTGTAAACCCATATATTGCTAATGACCTTACTTTCTTACGATAGAGTAATAAGATCCTAAATTTTATTCTTGTGTAGAGTTTCTATTTCCTTTGGCATTACTATCATCCACATAGATACATCTATATTTTTTATAACTTTATAGAAAATTAATGACTCTCCATAATGTGTTTTAAGATAATATACAATATTGCTCTTAGTAACATATTTTGAGTGCTAATCCAGTGGTCTTCTCTCATAGGTTGACCATTGAACTTCAAGAGTTTCAGACTTTATTTGTTTAGTGGTCTTCTCTCACAGGTTGACCATTGAACTTCAAGAGTTTTAGACTTTATTTGTTCATCTTCTTCATACTTTGATGCAGTTTTGGAAGAAGTACGGTCTTGAGTATTTCTACCTGAACTATTGTTATAGTCTTTTTCAAAATGCTTTTATTTTATTCCATTTACATTTTATCTTCTACAAATATAACATCTCTACTAATGATTACTTTGTAGGCAATGAGATTCTATAGGTGATATTGCTTTACTCCCAAAATATATCCCAAGAATACATATTTTTAGATTTTGAATTCAATTTTCCAACTTATTATGTATTATGCATCATAAACACAAGACTTCTGAATATATATAAGTGAGAATAATTAGCTTGTTTCCTAGTCCTTATCTCCATTGGTGCCTTCTAATCAATCACAATTGATGGACATAGATTGATAACATAACATATGATTTTGACTATTTTTACCCAATATAGATTATTTGAGCTTGCAACCTTTAACTTTGTTCTTGTTTGTTCAAACAAAGTTTTATTTATTTACTCTGCCACTCTATTTTTTTGGAGCATATGCTATTGTGAATTACTTTTTGATACTTTTTTGTTAATAAAAGTTATCAAATTCATCACTAATATATTCTTCTTCATTATCTATTCTCAGAAACTTGGTTTTCTTTTCAGCTTCTAGTTCTACCCGTGCTTTAAATGTTTTAAAAAATGAGAGCATATTTGCTTACTTTTGATTGGATATACCCAACATCTCTTAGAAAAGTCATCTACGAATGATACAAAGTATCTTCCTTATCCCATGGATATAATCGATGTTTACAAATCATCAGAATAAATCAAGTATAAAATGCATTTACTCTTAATTGTTGATATGCCAAACTTCAACTTATGCTATTTACTTGTATTACAATACTCATAAAAAGGTAAATAAACCTTTGTGAGACCAGGAAATAACTTTTATTAGAAAGAATTTTCAAGCTTTTCTCTAACACATGGCCTAACTTTTGATGCCACACTACCGTCTTTTCTTTTATAGAACTTAATGATGCAATTAATGCATCTGCCTCATGATATATTTCTTTTATTAATATAAAAAAGTTTGCAATTATTTTTCTAGCTTTTGATACCACTAGTGCCCCTCTGATAATTTTTATAATACCATTGTTTAGATGAATTTTACAACCAAGATTATTAAATTGTTCCACAGATAAAATATTCTTCTTCAAGCCTTTCATAAGTCGTACTTCTATAATAATATGAATTGAGCCATTCTATATTTTTAATTTAATGATGCCAATGCCAATAACTCTAAGGCATGATCATTGTTTAGGAACATCAAGCCTCTAAAGATGAGTTCATATGTATAAAACCAATCCTGATGAGGAGTCATACGCCTTGTTGCTTTTGAATCCATTAACCAAAACCTCAATGAGTTTTATTCTATTTTTAAAGATTTTCACTGCTTTACTATATAAAACTTCTTAATCATTTAAAGTGTTTATAACACATCCATGAGGTTTTGATGACTTAGAGTTGTTCTACATACCCTTTTTATTTTAGCAATCCCTTTTAAAGTGTCTTTTTTTTTTTTGCTAGAGTAGTAATATTTCATAATCCTTTTACTTCTTAATTTGGAACTTTCTGGCCTTCAAATCCTATTGAAACCACACTACACTGATCTTTCTCTTGACATTAATAATGTCTTTGTTTGGAGTGAATTGTTAATTTTATCTCTTTTGTTCTTACACTTATTGACGTTTTCTAAGAAAGTGATTGCGACATCATTAAAAACAACATAATTTGTTAAGATGTTATTGGTCATATTAATAATGAATACTTTGAAGTATAAGTTTTGCACATTTATTTTTCTCTATTTGCTAACCTAATATAATGAGCTATGAAAATAGAGTTTTTATTATGTTGACGTGCTTAGTCACCAACATGGTTTCTACCATTCGTAGGGTATAAAATCTCATGTTTAAAATGATCTTATTATGAAAAGACTTGGACTCGTATAACTTTGTCAAAATCTCATAAATCTCATTTGCAAATTTCTTCCTAGCCATACTTGATAATACTTCATTAGCACCATTCGTAGGGTATAAAGTCTCATGTTTAAAATGATCTTATTATGAAAAGACTTGGACTCATATAACTTTGTCAAAATCTCATAAATCTTATTTGCAAATTTCTTCCTAGCCATACTTGATAATACTTCATTAGCATTAAGACTTGGGTTTTTATGAATCAATGACTAATAAATCGAATTACATGTGATTATATATACAACTAAAAATATAACCTAGAAGACATGGGACATGAGTTTTTTTATTTTTCATGTCTTAGTTCAATATTTTTTGGTTATCTCAACAAGGAAATTGCTTAAATGTTTCATTTGTTATCTTATAAAAAAGTGTTTAAATAGTGATTTTTTAAAAAAATATCAAAGTAAATTTGAAATTAAAGACTAATTAGTGATTTTTTTTTTAAAATATCAAAGTAAATTTGAAATTAAAGAGCAAATTTAGTTTTTTTATGGATTATTTTGATGAATGTGTATTTTTACAAAAAATGATTTGGTTACAAAGTTTTGAACCATGCCATGAAATCGATTATGAGAGTTAATGAGTTTTACATAGCATCTTTTTAAGTTCGATCATTGAATTCGATTTAAATTTTTTACTTGGATTTATCCATCTATTGCTATTATCTTTTTAGTCATCAAGATTTTAAATACTAAAATTAAATCTATTTTTCTAGTGAGATTTATAATCCATATTAAAACTAATTTTTTTTTTTATAGCTTATAATCTAATCCCTAAAAATTATTTTTTTTATAGCTTATAATCTAATCCCTAGACAACCAGCCCATCCAAATTGATGTGATGTTACTTTGCATTTCATTATTGGAATATTAATTTTTCTAACATATTTTAGCTTAAAAGCATAGTTATAAATTCAACTTTAGTGACCCTCAAGTTTAATTTTTTTTTTTTTATAAAAATTCATAATGATATTGTTTTTATTATTTTTTTTTCAAAAAAATTAATGACTTGAAGACAATGTTTTATCTTGAATTAACTGGATGAAAAGTTAACCTAAATTTTAACTGGATCACTTCTATTTTTTTCTTCAATTTAACTAGGCTCAGGTTTTATAATAGTTTAGTTGATTGAAGTGGTAAAAAAAAATAAAAATAAAAATCTTTCAATGAAAGTAGAAGTGATGGAAGATTCATTTGTTGTCATCATGACAATGCTGGGATGATTCATTTTTCAGTAACAAAAAGCATGAACTAATTTTTCGCAATTAACTCTATCGACTGCGAAATGGGTCAACTCTCATGCAATAACCGCTAGTATTTCTCCACTTTATACAGGCATGTCTCTGTGTTGCTTAAGATAGGGCATCAAGCCCACTTTACACCTAACTAAACTCCAGATTGTCGATTTGTTTGATGTTAGCGAGGGTTGATGGTGGGAACAACACCACTGCTAAGATCACTTCCCAGAAGACAGGAACTTTCGTAAAGATATTGGCTCGAGTAAAATGAAGATGATGATGCTGACTTGCCGGAATATGTGGGAGTGGATTTGCCGGAATATGTGGAAGTGGATTCTGCATAGATGGCATCAGCTTCTGGCATCATTTTGAGTATGGTTTCCAGTTCCCTGACCACATCCTGCATTGACGGCCGCTTGTCTTGCTTGTCATGGCAACAGTCGAGTGCCAAAACCACAAATCTCTCCACACATTCAGATGGATAAGCACCCATTCTGTTGTCTATGATAGAGAACATAATGCCAGACTGATGAGCCATGTTAACCTGAAAACAGAGTACATAATATGGTATTAGCTTCGATGTTTCTCGATTCCCAGGTTCTTAGCCTTTCTTGCTGTTGCATCATAAATGAGAAGTTATTCTATCAAAATAAGCTATAGTTGAAGTTCAAGTAAAGCTGGACATGGTTGTGACTGATATGTATATGACAAGAGAACTCAAGGCCTCTGAATTAAGAGCTCATTGAAGTACCTCGCGAACAATGTTTTTGCCATGTGATATTGGGTGCATACCAGTCAGGAGCTCCAGAAACACAATCCCAAGGCTATACACATCACTCTTGTCTGTCAACTTATGGGTCAAAAAGTATTCTGGATCGAGGTATCCCTGCACATACGGTGACAATCAAGAGAGTTATTCAAACGAGGTCAATGATGCTCCATAGCATCTAGTGATGGTAGACAAGTTACATCCAAGGATTTGGAGGGGATTCCAACATCTGCGCAACTCAGTTTTATCCAATCCACAGGACTTAAACAAGTTACGAAGCTTAAGATTTCTGAGGCCATCTAGACATGGCAAAAACTTGGCCAACCAGGTGGTTAAATATTGGGACCGGAAATTACATTCCTTGCTAGAAGTTGTCAATCCACAATTAATCATGCTAACATGAATTTTCAGTGAAGATATCTTCAGTGCATACCAGAAAGGTTTTTGATATCTTCTAGTTATTCCTTTGTTAATTCCTTCACCTTCTTTAAAAGTACTTCTCTTGGCATATTGATTAGAGAATAAGATGAAATTTTGCAAGTGAAACATCAGGATTAGAGACCTCACAGAATTCACATTTTTCTCACCCATAACACCTTGCATCCTCTACCCGTGTTCAAGAAGTTAAAAAGAGAAAGAGGGCATATAATGGAGTCAAACTTACTGGAGTTCCCCTTACTACTGTTGATACATGATTAGGCAGATTCCCTTCATCATCCAAGACAGGAGCGAGACGTGAGAGTCCAAAGTCAGCAACTTTAGCAGTGAGCTTACAGTCTAATAGTATGTTAGTGGCCTTGATATCCCGGTGGAACACTGGAGGCTGTGCTTCAGTATGGAGGTAAAGGATACCCTTAGCTGAACCCAGCGCGATTCTTAACCTTGTACCAAAGTTCAATGTTCCCTTGGCCTTTCCTGCATTGACACAGCGACCATCAACTTTGAGCGTTGAAGATATCATGTCTTAAACCAAAGTGTAACAGACTGTATTGATAACGTCCTAAAACACGAAGCTGGAAAAGAATGAAAATGGAAACTATTTCATGTGCTACACAGGATTTTTTAAGTTTACACTCCACTGGTGAAATATGACAGTGCATCGTTTGGCAAACTATGACTCAAAATCAGCAATTAGAGATAGATCATATGTATAATCTAAAAGTTTGTAAGAATGTTGTCCTTCAAAACAGGCAGACAACACAATTAGCTAAACTACAAACCTATGACTCAAAATCAGCAATTAGAGATAGATCATATGTATAATCTAAAAGTTTGTAAGAATGTTGTACACATTCTGTACAAAATAATATGGAGACATTGAATAGATTAAAGAGCCATCAAATCAGAAATTTTCCATACCAGAAAGCCAGTCCCGCAAGGTACCGTTTGGCATGAACTCGTACACCAGCATCTGTGCAGGAACCAAGAACAACCAGGTGGATTTTTACACATAACCAAGTAAAGTTTCCCAATTTTGATGCTAAAAGAAAATCAGATCACTTCACATTCTTGGACAAGGATTAGCATAATCGAATTCTAGAAGATGGTGGGGGTCAAAGGCATGGCTAAGAAAAGGAAGCACATCCAATTGCTAGACTAGGACCATAACCCATCTAACTTATAGCATCTCTATCCTGATGTTTTGTCTGACCAATGTGGACTCTTCGCAGATGGTAATGCTGTTGGTCTGTGCAAAATAAACAAGGGACAGAAAAGGAGATCTTGCCTATTTTTAAATTTCTTATTGAAACATGCTAAAAATAAAAATCTCATCTTGAAAGTATTACTCGGGAAGAATGAAATGGCCAGAGCCAATAGGTCCCTTCCAAGAACCTCTGCTACTTTCTTCTTTTGAGGATTTATCAGAAAACACTTGCAAAGTTGCAAACCAGGATGATCTAAAATATGATTTAATTTCAGCTCCGCAATATTTACCTGCTCCTCTTTTTCTTCACAATATCCAACCAGTGAAACTAGATTTCTGTGATGCAACCTTGACAACAATTTAATCTCAGTCAAAAATTCTTTTTGGCCTTGTAATGATCCTTCTTCAGTACGCTTTATGGCCACAATTGAGTTGCCAGAAAGAACACCTCTATAAACCTTTCCATAGCCTCCTCTACCAACTTGAGTTGAGCAGTTAAAGTTATCAGTAGCCAGGGCCATTTCTTTAAATGTGAAGCCTTTCACACCATCGATTTTTATCAATGCCTTCGATGCTGTAAACCACAAAAATAATCCCATGATACCTTTTCCAGGGATAGCCACATATACTATTATTAATTGAAAACAATTCTAGCAGTCACAATAAGAAACTTACATGAATGTCTTCTCGACAAATTTCTATGCTTTCTAGCATATCTTCTACTAATAAGAAGTGTGACAACTGCAGATACTGCAATGGTACAGGCAATAGCACCTAATATAACGGCTACCCAAATTCCTTTGCTAATATTCTTCCCTTTAGTGTCGAAATGTACTGTTGGAAAAAGAAAAGCATATTATTATATAGCCACCCCTTAGAAACAAATCTATTGATATGAAGCAAACTAATGCTATTAATCCAGCACATAAATTCCAAAGCGAATAAGACACACAGACCATATTGCCAAGGCATAGCCTTGACTGCAGTCCAGATCTAAGAGTTCACATATATGGATATTGTATATGAGAGAAGACTATGCATCTACCAATGGATGCGAACCATAGTTGGGCATATAGCTGCGGTGGAACTTCACTTCAGAAACTTTACAATTTTGAATTGCAAAAGTGTCAAATTTGGATAGGTTGGCCCTTTAAGTCATTGAGCTTTCATGCACAAGTTCAAAGCAACAATATAAAAGTCATCAAAAATAATTTGAACAAAATGGAATTATCAATGGGGAAACAACTCTACTTCGCAAAAGATGTGAAAGATTCTGAGATGCTGTGACATGCAACTTTGAATATAACTAAGAACTTTCGGGCTGAAGACATTCTAATTCACTTGTAAAAAAAGACATGCTTATTTTGCAAAGAAAGTAATATGAAAAGAAGCCAATTATGTTCCTGGTACTAGTAGATATTTGAGGAAAGCAATAAATCAAGATCTCTAACTCGTTTCTGTGATCTCAAATACCAATTCTTGGAGCACAAACAATGCAAATACCGATGTTTGGCAGGCATACAGTGCACATAATCTGATTCGGCATCATCTTCTGAAGAATTAACAAAGTTAACTTCAGTCTAAAAAGAAGTAGGAATTTGGAACACATACTCCCTGCATAAGGTCCCACTAGAGTGAAGTTGAGAAGTTCATATGGTCCGAATAAGTCATCACCAGGAAAGTGCCACGATGTAAATGCACCTCTTATTCGTCCAACCTCGGATACATTAAATGTGCTTGAGTGCATATTATTAGCTGGAGGAAATATCTTCAGATGCATTCTTAAACGAGGGCCTTCTTCCCAGAAATAGGAATCAATTGACAATTGATATGGATTCAGTTTAAGAGCACTAGTCACATGTAACTCGAATGGAAAAACATATGGATCAAAATAAGAGAAACTAGGGCTCTTAAGTCTGTATCCAATCCTAAGAGGGGAGGCACAAAAGCATGGTAGAGGTGAAGCTGGGACATATTCAAAGAAATTATCTACTGGGCATGCTTGAACAGCACATGTCATCGTAGAATTCATTGACCTCTCAGTAGTCCTATCTCCTCCAGCTTCAAATCCACAGAACTGGATTATGTTGGCTATGTTTGCATTTTCACAAATAGGATTGCCTCCAAGCCTAAACAAAAACTGCTAAAATGATCAGAATCTGACTGTGAGATATAAAATTAAAAGAACAAAAAAAAAGAGTATTTCTCAATGCCATCACTTTGTTATTTTGAGGAATTTATATTCTCTGATCTATCTCCTAATCCTCATAGCTAGCAACATTGGTAAATCAATCTGCAGGCCTATACAGGACCCTTGATTTTCTACATGAAGCTTTCTATCCAAAACCTGTGTGCATGGAGAGGGATGCTGATTTCACAGATCTTAAACACAAGCTGGAATCATCAAATAGCAAGGTGGAGATTGAAGATGCATATCCATCTAATAGACAAATTTAATTAAATCCATGTATTTGACAAGTTCCTCTGATTCTCTTACTATTTCTTCCAATGGATGATAAGGCTACAACATATTTCTACTTCGCACATCTAATTGTCAACCAGAGATCAGGTGCAAGTGTTCACGAAACAGATCATAAAAAGGTGGGTGCGCACTACTTTATAAAAATATTACCTTAAGGTGACATTGTCCGGCAGATTCAACGCCCCCGAAATGCTTGAGAGTGAATTGTTCCTGAGATCACTGCATTTGCGGGGTGCACAGAACAATTAGTTAGTATTATTCTGATACTCTATGGTTTGCAGAGAGTCTTGTATAATAATTTTAATGCTGAAAATTAATGGTTTTAATTGCATTTATTTTTGAATTCTTACATTGTAAAACTAGCACTTTTAGTGGAGGTCATGTTCTGCCAAATGTTAGCTGGCACAGACCCATTCAACTGATTATTTTCAAGTGACCTGCAGTATACAATCATTTAGAACATCATATTTAGCGTGCATAGCCTGCAAATAAGAGCATCTAATCTGAGACATTCAGAGCAACATGTAGAACATCATTAAGATGTTTTTAAGATCTTTTCAAGAGCTAAAAATAGGTGGAATAAGTAGATAGAAGCTCACAGTCTTTGAAGAAAAGAAAGATCTGAGAAACTTCCTGGTATAGATCCACTAAGATGGTTCTCTGACAAATCGCTGCAGTTGACAAGAAAAAATTTCAAACACAGAAAGACCTTCATCACAAGCTTGTTAAGTCATCCCGTGGTTGTAAAGTAGATTAAATTCCACTTGTAACATGGTCTTACGAACACTGAATATCACAACTGCAAACCTATACAGCCTACAATTTACCAGTTCTGTTTCTCCCTTTCATCGTGGTTTTACTTACATAGTTCTCATAGTATCAGAAAGTTTGGATGGTAGAGATCCTCTAAGGTTGTTCTTGCTCAGATCCCTGCAGGCCAAATTAGATACGCAGGTACCATAAGTGCATGTAATGGAAAAATAGAAATGAAATTCAAGTTCAATGGCATTGATGGAAAGAGAATACTAACAAATGCAGAAAGAACTTACAAATAGTATAGGTTTGGTATGCTGCTAAGACCAGGTATAGAACCTTGCAAGCTACAATTTCTGAGACTTCTACCTTGTCAAAGAGGATTAAAAACAAAGAGAAAAGGTCATCATCGACACTTCTTTTTGTGTATGTTTATGCAGAACAAGTTTGTCATTTGATTCGTGTTTATATAAACACAAAAGAAAAACCCTTGAGCATGTCCTATAAGTGAAACACAAGTTGATGAATATGAAAATACATAAAAATTTTAAACCAGCAATCCAGGAGCAAATCTGCACAATCAGAATTCATGACAAAGACTTCATACAGTCCAAACAGTGTGAAGATTCCTCCTCTGAATGCAAAATAGCTTTGAAGCATGTCATGTTTTATTTAGACTTACAATTTTACTAATCTGGAAAGGCTGCCATAAGTAGCTGGAATTCCAGATCCGTTAAAGTTGTTGTTGTCAAGTTGACTGCAAGGAGGACAATAAATGAACTGTCAACAAAATTTACTCTAAGTAACATATGCACAGACACAGACAAACACACAAGCACATGAACATGCATCGTGCCTCATCTCATTTAAGTACCCTGCAGCTTTACTGAATTCTCACTACAATCAATACCGCTGCTAATAAACAAATCTAATAGAATGTATGTACATAAAAGAAAAGATCACACAATAAGAGAAATGATTGAATGTGATAATGATTCAAGTAACATTCTAGACAACATGATAGAAGCACGTACATTATCCGCATCTCTGGGAACTTTGATAATTCTGGTGGAAGATATCCAGATAAGTTATTATTATCCAAAAGCCTGCAGAGATTGTTTCACATGTTCTCAATCAGGGGAAAATTTTCACGTGGATCATAAAAATAAGTAGACATTAGAACAAAAAGGAAACCATTGTAGTAAAACTCACAAGTGAACAAGAGTTGATAGTTTGGAAAGCTCGGGTGGAATTTGACCACTGATTGAGTTGTTGTTCAAGTGGCTGCAAGTATCACATGCAAGTCAACAATATATGCGGACAAAAGCTAATCTCTTTGCAACTCAAAGAAGGATTTAGCTTGAAGATACACTTACAAATGTCTAATACTGCTCATGTTAGCAAATGATTTTGGTATTCGTCCTGAAATATTGTTCTGATCCACTTGGAGTCTAATTAATTTCGATAAATAGCCAAGCTCATCAGGTAAAGATCCTGATAATTTGTTTCCATTCAACAGCCTGCATAGATAATAATACATTACAGGACGTTAAACTAATTCAAAGCACATACCAGAGTAGATTCATTTTTAAGATATCCATTTCTATAACCATGACAGAAGGAGGATAACAACCCACTGAAAAAATGAAATAACATGAAACCAACTTACAGGAGTTTCAAAGATGAAAGATTTCCTATCTCTCTTGGTATGCTGCCAGTCAATTCATTCCACATGAAATCCCTTGTAATCACAACAGAAAGGGGACTTAGAATCACCAGAAGCGGATTAGCAAGACATGTTCAGATACTCAAAAGTAAATTCTCCAGAAATATGGTTGCTAGATATTGCAACTCACAATATTGCCAGTTGAGAAAGTTGGCCTAGCTCAGGTGCTAAATTTCCAGAAAGATTCAAATTAAGAAGCTGACTGCATCAAAATTGACAAATGGAAAGTGTTTCATAGCCAGAGTTATGATTGTATCATAAAGAAATCCTCTGACTTTATTCATCAAAACACGAAGGGTAAAAAATAACAACAACAAGAAAACGCATAGAACATACAGTTCTCGGACATGCAAGTATCCATCAGTCCCAGTTGCATCATAACAAAAAACACCAGTCCAATTGGAGGTACATGGATCTCCCTTATTCCAATTTCTGAGATGCTTCATAGGATCAATCAAATTGTTCTTGACTGCTAGCAATGCATTGACTGCAAAAATGCACAATATTGATAACATTAGAGCAGAGCAGTAGGCAACCAACACTGCCTAGCTTTACCAAGAATTTTGGGCATCACAATAGCATATTAAAAGAGGAGGTGCAATCTCTTTCTTGAAAACAACTTGCCTAATTTTCCTTGTCTAGTTTTGTTTTCTTATTCTCCAAATAGACAACTTAATTATATAGTTTAAGCACACATATTTCTACCCATTTTACAAGCCTCAAAGAACACGTATCGCAGGATCATTTTGTCAACGCAATCATGATAACATTCATGAAAAAGTCAAGTTGAGAATTTGCGGGGGGAAAAAGATAAAATTCACCTTCTGAGGGATTTGTAACTTGAGCAACTGTAAGGAGCAGCAAGTAACAATATGACAGGAGAAAAACACACCCCCAAGTTCTCAGCTGCAACATCTTCATTCCCTAAGTAAGAACCAAACAAAATCACTAAACATTTTGCATATTCATTTCCAGCAATCCCTTCAAAATCAAAAGAAATAAGCAACAAGATACAATCTTTTCCCCCGAAAAAAGCATATCAGGGAAAGGGGAAAAAAGTCCAAACCAAGCTTGCAGATTTAATGTCCCCAAAATATCCAGCTTACCAAACAAGGAAGATAGTCAAACCCCATAATTCCGGTAACTAACAATGAAACAGGCGCCCAGCAGTAAAAGTCTAAAAAATCCACAATTTTCAATGAAAACAAAAGGAAAGGAAGATAAAAGAAGATGCTTACGGGAAACGAGTCAAATATGACCAAACCGTAGTGGGATTGCTTTAAACATCCAAACCATACGATAAGCTATGAATCCTTGAGACCGCAGAATCAAGAGTTGTAGACTTCTGCAACAGAAGCAAGTAAAGCTTGGTGGGCAGGGAAAAAAGATATAGCAGAAGTCCTGTTGATGGGGGCACGAATGATAATAAATGGAATCTAGTTTGAGCAATAGAAAACGATATGTATGTGAGATGGCATTGTCGTCATGGTTGCTCCATCCATTCTAGCACCCAGTCAAGATTACAAGAGAGAAAGTCTAAAGATACTCAATTTTTTTACTAATTACTCTGTTTTTCTCAATTATTACCGAGTAGTATATTTGGATGAAATGCAAAACAGTGACAACGTGTAACTTCAACACAGTTTGCACTTTCACGTTACCAAGTTCTTTAATGATAACCAATGGACTGTTTGTTGTCTTGTTATCTACAATTTCAAGAAAAATTACTCTTGTTGAAGAACTAAATCACACGCAATAAATTTGAAGTGCAATAAATAAATAAATAAATCTTGTTATTATTATTATTCGCAATTTGTTATGCATTCCTTCTCAAACTTTAGTGGAAGTAGATATGAATAAAACATGGTGGGGAGCTTCCCTACAGCGACAGCTGTGGACTTTTTTAGGCATTCCAACCTACCTTTAAGATCTTGCAAAAAGGGAAAGGCCTCAACGTAGTATTTGGTATTTGTATTCTTTTTATTCTCACAATTTGGTCACTGCATGCCTTTTTGTTTTCAATATTATCCTTGCAAATCACCTCAGAAAGAGATCGAGAAAGAATATCTTCTTAAGAGTTTATTTAATAAATTATTAACTGAAAATAGAAAAACAAATGTAATAATCAATGAGTAACAAAGCTTGAAGTATAAACCTACAAGGACCACTTTAAGAAAAGAAATTCATACAGAGGTCATTAAATGATGAGGTGGAAGAATCGTAATAAGAAAAAAGACAAATACATGGACTACATTACAAGAAAATGAAAAATACAGGCACCAAACATGGCATTAAATCTCCCCCGACATGCATTCCGAACATGGTAACGCGGTGGCTGTTCTACTTTCAGACGCCACAGGGAAAGCCGAAAGGGTAATAGTTGTTCTTTGCACGTGCCGCGTTAGTCAAACTTTCAATTTCCGTTTTTTTGAAGAAAATACAAAAAGTCAACTTTCTTCCATGTTAAATAATAGTGAAGGTGATAATATTCCAACCACAATTATTGCTTGCTTCTGAAATTGATTGATTGATCGATCAAGGTTATATATATATTGGCAGCTCTCATGGTTAGAGGTGGAGTTTGGTAGTGGAGGTTGTACCGTACTTTTTTTTTTTTGTTTTTAAGTTCTAAATTAATTTTTTTTTATTGTGTTTTTACCTAAACCAGCATTTTGATGTTTTTGAGGCCAGCCCAAATGATATCAGAGGCCTACAAGAAACAGAAGCTCTTTCTTACACGCATAGGTCCAATCCAGTGTGTGTCGCCAAGAAAGAAACGGAGGCTATGGTTAGACTGATTCCGGGTTGTATCGAGCTCTTTTCTGTCAGTACACTTCGCAGATCAGTGGAGCCATGATTTTGCTGGCAATGTACAAAAAGAGGGAGTGGCGCTCAACCCTCCTATTGTCTGCTTGCATCAAGTTTGGAGCTAATGAAGCACTTTGCAAATTCATCAAGAGAACATAGATTATACACGCTAACAAATGAAACAAGCAATGATGGGCTGCTGCTGCTGCAGACTATAAAAAAACACAGATAGTGTTGCAGCCATGATCTCTTAAGCATTGTTGGTGGCTCCACCCCCCGTCCGCCTCAGTTTATTGTTGATGATACTGGGAAGACTACATCTGATCTCAGCCATGCCTGTCTGTTATGGCAGAAAAAAGGATCAATTTATCCCCAGTATGGATAAAAGCCACATTATCTGATATTGTTTTGTCCACTATTTATGGACTAACTTCTCGCCAGTTATGGACCACCTGGGCTAATCGCTTTGCACCTCCCTCTCCCTCCCGTATCTTCCATCTCAAAAGACTCTTCTACACACCTCGACAGCCCTGCCAAATTTGTGGCAAAACAAATCACCAAGCACTCAACTGCTATAACAGGATGCATTTTTCTTACCAAGGGAGTCATCCTCCATCTCAACTTGCAGCATTAAGAGCCCAATCAAATGTCCACATCACAGATGATCTTGACCACTTATCTCTGCAACAACAGTCGTATCAAGGTGCAGACACAGTTACAGAGGGTAATGGATGAGGTTTGCACATCACACACAATGGTTCTTCATTATTTTCCTCCCCCACCTCTAAAGTTTTCCTCACAAATATTCTTAGATGCCCTAATGCTTCATTTAACTTGCTGTCAATCCAAAAGTTTTGTGCTGATAACAATTGCTAAAGTATTCTTACCGCTGCTTGTTTTATTGTATTGGACAAATTGCTTTTGGAGTTACTGGGCGCTTAGTAATGTCAGCAAGTGAAATCATAATATATGTGATATGTCAACAATTAATAAATTTAAGCACACACGGAAGTTAATTTAATGCATTTAGTTGTTGTATTTGCTACATTAAAACCAGATTTCTCGTTGTTTCGTAGAACAGACAGTTGGATTTGGGCCAATGCAGATGGTATTATACGTTGAGTTATATGTAAGCGCAACGAATTCATGCTGTCTTAAGTTCATCTCACTTCTCTTTTACTATTAGTCTCAGTATCTTTTTTCCGAGAACTAAATGGACAAGGGCTTCAATCCGTATGCTTCGTGTGTGGAGTAATCATGATGAGTGATAGCTTGTCATCATTGTTCCCAAACACGAACATGAATTTTGCTGCAATACATCTGGATTGTCATCAAATCTTTTCCATCACGGCAACTCCCGTTGTTCTTCCAACGGTCTGGCTGTGATACCTTACCTTGCTGTCATACCTTTCAGGCTATCTATATATATTTTTTTTAATTAATATAGGCATTCAGACCAGTTTGTGCACTCTTTTTTGTTTTGTCAGACTCTCTTTTTCATTTCCCCTCTTTTATTGCTGCACTATCTTGTGCTTCCATTTCCAGCTCCCTCCTCCTTTAAAACAAAGAAGCTTATTATACACTTGAGCCTTTGTGTTCAGTTGGAGGAGTGGGTGCATCGATTATAGTTGTTCTCTCCTTGTTATGGGCTGGGGTGATCGACAAAATTATATCGGCTTCTCTGGCCATGCGGTATTTCCAAAAATTTACAACTCTATTAAACCATATTCAAGGTTTCCAACAGTTTTAAATTGTTACTATATGCACTTTCTTCCTGCCAACAATATTCCTATTCGTTCCTTCAATATGCTAAAATCTGAAAACTCGTAAGGATATTATATATATATATATTATCCTATTTCTCTGAGAAAGAGCATTTTGTGTAACTCTTCAAATTTTTGTTAAGGCTTCCAATCTAAATGGGAGCACTCGATAGCTTGTACTTCACTTGACTTGGCTAAATCTAAGAAGAATAATGCTAGAGATACTTTAAAGACGGTTCAGAAATGGAGTGATTGTAAGGATTACGGACACCACCTATCTCCACATTGGTATGATATTGTCCACTTTGGGCCTAAGCCCTCATGGATTTGCTCTTGGGTTATACCCAAAAGGCCTCATACCAATGGAGATATTTGTCCATCCTTATATACCCTTGATCCTCCCCATTTCTAACCAATGTGGGACTTTGGTCGCATACCCAACAAATGAGTACACAAAGACTGATAAAGGATAACGAATTTTGCTATTTGTTTTGCTCCAACTTTTAATAACAATCACCTTGTAATCTTTAGTTACTCTATCAAATCCAAACTTAAACGATCATTTATCCATCCACTCTCTGCCAACCAGGATTTTTCATCCTCTACTTCTCTCTACTTCATCGTGTTGGGGTCAGGACACGTCCATGAAGCATCCGGAGAGCACTACTTGACTTGAGAGTTTTTTTGCTCTTTCTAGGTCAACTCCTCTTCACCGTGTTGAGACCAGGACACGTCCATGAAGCATCCGGAGCACATCGCCTATCCAATAGAGCTGATCCATGGATCACATCGTGATTTAATTAAGGCCCACCACCTTTTGTTCGGCATTCCGAGGATTCATCCATCATGGCTAACTCTAGGGCATGGCTCTGATACCACTTGTAAGGATTACGAACACCACCTATCTCCACATTGGTATGATATTGTCCACTTTGGGCCTAAGCCCTCATGGATTTGCTCTTGGGTTATACCCAAAAGGCCTCATACCAATGGAGATATTTGTCCATCCTTATATACCCTTGATCCTCCCCATTTCTAACCAATGTGGGACTTTGGTCGCATACCCAACAATCCTTCCCTCGAACAAAGGATCACCGAGCCTCTCCTCAAACGATCATTTATCCATCCACTCTCTGCCAACCAGGATTTTTCATCCTCTACTAGGGGAGGTCAATGTGAAGCTAACCATCTTAGTCAAAAATGGTGGGAGAAGGTGTAGCCATCTTAGTCAAAAATTGTATGCACCAAATTGATGCTATTTGCCTAACCCCTTGTCTTTTGCATGGATGCTTGCCTATAAATAAGCAATGCATCCAAGCATTATATACACACCACAAGAGAGAAAGAAGAGAGGGTGAGAAGAGAGTAATTCCACAAAATTGTGAGGTATTTGTGAGATAGTAAGTGAGGTGTTTTTCTCCTAATAATAGAGGGATTTTGTTGTTCTCCTATTATTAGAGAGAAGTTGTATTCCCACATTACTTAGTAAATCCTTCTATACTTGTCCGTGGACGTAGCCAAATTGGGTGAACCACGTAAATTCTTGTGTGTCATTTCTCATTTTATCTTGTCCCTTACCTTTTGTCTTGTCGGGTTTGCATGCCAACATCCTAACAGTGGTATCAGAGCCTTTTGGTTGGTGTTGTTAATACACAAAAGTTATTCGTGTATACGGTCACTATTCCCGTATACGGTACTATTCACCTATACGGTACTATTCACCTATACGGTACTGTTCACATACGGTGCTGTTGGCGTATATAGAAAGTCAGTGCGGTGATTAAATACAGTTTAGGAAGTTCTGTCTAAGGAGATTGGGTTTTAAGCGGGACCGTTTGTGACCCCTCCAATCTTTCCTGGAATTTACTTAGTGAAGTATTATTCACACGATACTATTTCTATATACGTTACAGATCTGTGAAACGGTGATAGCTAAATAGATCTTGGTAAATACAATGGCAGCAAAGTACGAGATTGAGAGTTTTAATGAGAGCAATTTCTCACTGTGAAAAATGAGAATCAAGGCAATCTTAAGGAAAGACAATTGCTTGGCAGCAATTGGGGATCGGCCCGCGGAGATCACTGATGATGCAAAATGGAATGAGATGGATGGCAATGTTATTGCTAACATACATTTAGCATTAGCCGATGAAGTATTATCAAGTGTGGCGGAGAAGAAAACAGCTAAGGAGATATGAGAGACTCT